GCTTATTTATGAATGCCTCTAACCTGCAGGTGTTTGCAAACACTGAGGGGAGCTGGAAGGAGTACAAAAAGCTGGGTTAAACCACTGGAATTCAGCATGGATAGACAAAGTTCTGTTCATCAATGAGAATTCAAATACCCACATAGAATAGAAGGAGAATTTCAGTTCTGTGAATTAGGTAGACAGCTGGTGCTAATCGTGTGGGGATAATTACAAGAGTTAATTATGTAAGCTGTTATGATTTATGGGGTAAGGACAGTGGCAAATTACTCAAGTTGATAGGGAAAATTGAAGAACAGTTATTATCAAAAAATAGAGTTTTGTTGCAGGCTGAATCATGCTCAGCAGAACATCTGTGTACACATATTGGTGTAATAGGGAAAAAACCCTTCTTTTTGTGTGGCATAAGAGAATAAGCACAAATATGGGAAAAAACCCAGCAAGTTATCTGCTCCTCTGCACAAATATGGAAAAAATCCAATTTAGCTGCTGTTCTGTTTTGTATGTGAATGAAAAGCAGTTGTTGAAAGCATTTTCTCCTGTATTTAGCTCAGTAACACCTTGAAGTGGGATCAGCTAATGAACTACTGCTGAGAGCCACATCATAACTTTTGTACATCATACATTTGTACAGCAAAACTCCATCTCTTTGCTCTGCTGCTGGATGGTCCAAGAGAAGGTCACAAACTCAGTGCTCAGGTCTGTTCTCTTCCTCGTTTGGAGCAGGGAATCAAATTAGATCTTCCCACGGCTGTGCTGGGGCTGTAACCCCCAACACGATCTGCTCCTCTCTCCAGGTATCTTGAAAGGTCTCTTCTGCCAAAGGAAACAAAACAAAAGCAAACCCAGCCATGAGACTGTTCAGGAAAAGAGGTTTTGTGTTTCCAGACAGTTGTAATAGTTTTTTTTTTTTTTCCTTTGATGAAACAAACTTTTGGGAGCAGCAGGATTTTATTTTGAGTGCTTGAGGGGTGATGAGATGATGCAGTGGAGTGGAAGGGCAGCTGATATCCAGAAAAGGGCCCTGCCACTGAAATCTCAGGGCTGTCTTTGCTCAGGTCACTGAGTATATCCAGCACCTTGGTGATCTGTAAGTGCATGAGAAAAGAGGAATAACTCGTAGATGCTCACATCCAAGAAATGCCATTGAGAAGAATAAATAATGTTTACTTGAAAAGACAAGGAGAATAGTGATTTTTTTTTTTTTTCAAATAATAGTGATCCTTCAGAGAAACTTCCTTACACTGATTTCAGCTGCCACAACGAGAGCCAAGTATTTGTGTGCATGGTTTTCATAATGGGTATGTTTGCAGAGCTGTATTTGATTTGCCTGCTTTGGTTTATTAAAAACAAGGAAACATATAAATGCTGTCCATCCTCAGAAAAACTCCCAACAGCCTCTGTCATTGATAATTAAATTTGTAGAATCACAGAATCATCAAATGGTTTGTGCTGGAAGAGACCTTTAAAGATCATCTGGTTGAGTCCCCCTGCCATGTGCCACCAGTGTCCTCAAGTCTTTCCCCAAAGGGCTGCTCCCAATCCTTTCATCACCCAATTTGTGCTGAAAACACAACACCAAGGCATCTGTCCTGTGTGAGGGACCAGAGAGAAGCCACAAGGATTAGCAGAGTAATTAGAAAAAAAAGTCTATCAGTATTTGTCTCAGGAGTTGTCAATATATGCTTGTTTTTAACGTGGTTATGGGATGCCTTGGTAAACAATGCAATTCGAGCAGATACTGAGCAAAGAGAAGGCAAAGGGGGAGAATTACAGAGAATAAACTTGTGGCCCACCCCTTTCAGAAATCTGTAGGGAAGAGAGTTTAATTCAGAGAGCCAGGAATGTTCTTGTGTGAGCTGGAGCTGCTGACAGGGGATTAATTGGATGTGTGATCCAGCTCTATCCCCTTTCACTTCTGGCCTTCCCCAGCCACGCATGACCTCTGTCATAGGGAAATCCATGCTAATAGAATTTTCTGCTTTTAGCAAAGACATCCTCACCTTTTTTTGTGCTGCTGAAGTTGGGTAAGGAGGCCTTAATTCAGGATGAGGCTGAACTATTAATTAGTGAAGTTCTGTTATTCCAGCAGAGATCTGTGCTAGGTCTGTGTGAAGCTTCTTTAATAAAATAAGAGAGCAAGGATCCCTAGTGTGATCAGAAAGCCAGGATCATTACAAGGCTGCCAAATGAGCTTATGGTAATTATCAAGTGATATATTTGATAATTGTACAGAATTTTGGGTGAGTTCTGCATTAATTAGTAACAGAAGCTGATAGAGACATTTTTTCTTTGTACTACTTTAGGTGGGGTAAGATATTTAAAATAAACTAGTTAGCTTTAAAGCCCTCCTAGAAAACTGAGCTATTTTGATAAGATAAAAGGTTATTATTATTTTTTCTGTTTTTTTTCTCAATCAATTTATATAAATGCATAGGTTATTGGCTTTTTAAAAATTGGAAAGAAGCTAATATGCCATGGATTTTTCTGTCACTGGTATCAGAAGCTTTCCTTCCCCTTTGCCCTGTCCCAGTACAATGGAACATACATTCTGGAACAGGAATTCTAATTTTAGAAGAGGCTGCTGTTTTAGCTTTTTAACTGGCAATTAAATATAATTTAAAGAAGCTGACACAGGGTGGGTAAATTGGCCATATTCCAGATTTTATGAGTCGTTTTCTTTCTGTGAGAGCTCTGTCTTATCCAGAACCCAACTTGGTGCAGAGGCTGGAATCCAGAATTGCCCTTTTACCAAGGGAATGTCCTAGCCCACATGGAGAACGATTTCTCTCCTTGCTTCATCTGAATGCTATTGATTAGAGGGTAGTTATATGTTGCCTTTTTTTTTTTTTTAATTTCATGCCAGTAGATCTTGTTTAAAATTTTAAAGCCTTTGCTTCAAATTTACAAATCATTGAGGTTCACTGGCAAACAAAGCCTCTAGCACTGTTTGTGATCTTGTGCTCTGTTGCTGGCACACTGCCATGATTAAATTTGAGTCCAAGCTTTTGACATGATGGAAACTTATTTTTTTAATGGTATAAACAAAATAAGTGAGGAAAAAAAAAGAGCAGCAAAACACTTATGAAGGAATTTGGCTCAAACAGAATATACCAGTATTTCCTTTTGAAAAAAAAGATCGATTTTGGGGGTGCTGTTGTGCTGTTTCCTACATGTGAGTTATGAGAAGTGGTAAAAGAAGTCTCCATCTTCTGTGCTAATTTGGATTTTCCTGTGGACTGTGTTAGTTCTGGACTCAGCAGCTCAGAGCATTAGCAAAGGTTTTCTGCCAGGGCTGGATCCTCTTCATCTTTAGGACCTGCACATGTTCATCTGCTCTGCACAGCCTGACACAGAAGTTCTTAACTGAGAAGATTTTGACAACTTGTAAACAATTTAAGTGATTTTTCTTTATTTCTGCATGTTAAGCAGCATAGGCTTAATATTAGTTTATTTCAAAAAGGCCTTAAGGAAAATATTATCAAATATTTTATTTTAATTTATAGTTCTTTCCACATTGGGATAATCTCATAAACTTTTCTTGTTGTCTGGTGGTGGCTTAGAATTATTTGCATTTCTGTAGGTGTCCATAACTAGATGCCTCTGCCAATGATCAGCTTTGAAAGTATCCTCAGGAAATTTCATGAGGAATATTTTCAAGGGAATACTAATAAAGAAAATATTATCTCTAAATATAAATAGTGGGGGAAAAAGAATATAATGGATGAATATTACATTCCAGTAGCCAGGCAGACTCTTTCCTGAAAGAAGGCTCTGGAATACATTTTTTTTCTCCCAATGCATCCATGCATGTGGTGTTTTCAAGCCCTGATTGTATATATAGATAGGTATAGAAATAGGTACATATATTTATTCTTCCACAGTCTGCAGTTTTTAGATGTGATTTGGAAAAAAAGCTGACTGAAAGAGAAAAAAAATGTAGCACAAAGACCGTGATAAAAGGCTTTTTGGTCAAAACGATACCAAAGAGCTTCTCCCTCTTCAGGTAACAGGGATGGGATGACAGTGAATTTTCATACTGCTTTTGGAATCTTTTGGTTTTTAGTGAAATGTCTTTATTACAAAGGCATTTGTTTTCTTACAAATCTGTGGCTTAGAGCATTGATACAACACTGCAGGTGCCCTGGTTTGTATCCTGGCTAGGGAGAATTGCATCCCTGAGCATTATTGATCGAGTGCTATTTTTTTGTGCATTTAACACCTGATAGTACCCAAGTCAATATTCCTGTTTGACAGAGCAGCAGCCTGGTACTGCTGGAGTCGTGCAGGATTCCCTCTTTGCCCAGCACTCAGCTGTGGGATGTACACACTGTGCTGTTTTTAAGCTTTCTAATCAGTTTATTGACAGCTCAATAAAGAATTCCTTCAGGGGATTCTGCAAGCATGGAGGCAGAGTTTCCTTCTGTTTAAATGATGGTAGGGTCATTTCACTGCCTGCTGTGGTTTTATGACAAAATATTAGGAATACAGTGAAGCAGCACTAAGGTAAAGAGTTTTAACCTCTATAATCTTTGCAGTGGGAGCTCTTTGTACCTTTCACATCTGGAAAACGCAACGTTTTTGTCACCACTTGCATGCCACTGCCAGTACATTATCTCAAGGGACAATTGCTTTTTGAATGGTTTCTGACCCTTGTCTGTTCAGGTTCCATTTTATCAGTGCCTTCATTTTTTTAAAAATGAAAACCAGCAACAGAAATGTGTGGTGCTTTGGCACAACAGCCATGCCATGCCTGGTTCTTTCTCTTTTTGCTGCTTGGCTGTGATTTGCTTAGCCCAGATTGAGAGGAGATTAAAAGGAAAACCCTCTTTTGGGGGACATGCTGCTGGATTTTATACTTCCAATTTTATCTATTCAAAACGTGTGGCCACTACATCCTGTCCAGGGCACAGAAAATCGTGTGAGGATTGAATTAGGTGTTTCTATAAACAGCTGGGGAGTTGTTCAGACTGACAAAAACTTGTTTTTGCTGCCCGAAGGTAACGACGCTTGTGAACACGAGCAATAAAGGACCATCTGGCAAGAAGAAAGGGCGCTCCAAGAAGGCTCATGTTTTGGCTGCCTCCGTGGAGCAGGCCACTCAGAACTTCTTGGAAAAAGGAGATCAAATTGCTAAAGAGAGCCAGGATCTCAAGGAGGAGCTGGTTGCTGCTGTAGAAGATGTTCGAAAACAAGGTATGTGGAAAAAAAAATACTTGATGGGAGTAAAGCTTTGCCCAGTGCCAAAGCTTTCTGTTCCACTTTCAGCCTGTCTTTTATTCTGCTGGGTGATAAAATGATGTGATTTTTTTTTTTTTTCCCACTTGGCTAAATCTGAGCAGTGATTTAAAGCCCGTGGGTGCAAATGTAGAATTAGGATTATGATACATATGTTTCTGAACAATCTAACAATTATCAGCCAGATAAAACAGCAATATAGAAATACTTGTGGTTTCAAATATATTAAAAAAAAAGAATATCAAAGCCTGAAATACAGGTATAATAACAGTATTAAGACAGTTATTTTCTGGGTGTTGGTGATAAAATAAATGGATACTCACAATATCTGACAATTTTCTTTCAAAAGATAAAATGGCTGTGAGGTTCTTTCAAATTTACCTGTGTGGTAGGGGAAAAATATGTTTTCAATATGCCTATAACAAAATGTTTCAGTTTTATTGACTTTGATTGTAATTATCTTTATTGCAGCAGAATTAAGTACCTTTCAAGTTTATTCCATTGTAAGTGCTGTAATCTAAAGATGCCATCTGCCAGTATCATCAGCCCTGGGTTTTAGAACGGGACTGAGAGATCTCCAGCTGAGATTTCAAAAGGAGTCCAAAGGATTTGGGTCTAAAATACTGATTTTCAGTGAGTTACTCCCCCAGAACTCATACTATGTTTTTGGGGGTTTTTTTATCTTGTGAAATTGGACTGAAGTGTTCATATGAGAAGGCAGGGTTAAATTTTGTGTATATAAGCACTGATTAGTGAATATTCCAGTCTCTTCTATCCCGAGGGTATTTTTTCCTCCTCTCCACTATTTGGTTTCACTGTTTTCATGTTCCTGTGTGGTTTGGGTTTTCTTAAATATTCAATTGTCAGTATGTCAGAATAAGTTAAGTATTTGCTGTATGCTCTATGTACAATGATATTCCAATAGTCTAATGGGGTTTTATGGATTTTGTTGATTATTTTTTCTTCTGAGTTTTTTTTTTGTTGTGATGACGAGCTTTTGGCTGGGTGGTTTTGTTTTAGATTTTTAATGCTGATGCCTGGCTGTTCTGGCATTAATTTTCATTTGTCAGCTACTTCAGTTTCCTGTTGCTTACGTGACTTATTTTGTGTAATGTCAAGTTGTAGCTCAGATCTTCAGTGGTGACATGAGTGCCCATGTTCTCTCTGAATTTATCATGTTTTCCCTTTTGGGTTTGTGATGCTGACTCAGCTTTCTCCTCAGGAGCCTTCTCCTGAGTTAGAGGCATCAACCTAAACTTGCACACTCTTCAGCTAGATGGAATTTCTGATTTTTTTACATGACAAAAAGACTTTTCTTTTCTTAGCCTATATTTAGAAAAGACCCAACTCAAATAACAATGAAGAAGCAGAGAGGAGGAAAAAGATCTTAAACAGAATTACGCAGAATGACACAGACATTCATCTCTTGTCAACACTCCAGGCTGGGGAAAAAAAGCCTGTCAGAAAAGTGGAGCAGCTTTTTTGGGGGCCTGTTCAACACAATGCCATAATGAGGAGAGCAGGAGACACCACACACCATTATTAGCACCCACGAGCCGTGTAAACGAGACCAGCCCTGGTGTGATGTGAAATGATATGTTTAGCTTGGTGGCATCAAGAGCTGGGTTAATGAATCGAGGCTGTGTTTCCCTGGCTGGTTTCCTGGCAGGGTTCCAGCTGGGATAATTACATCCTCAACCTAAAAATGTCTGCAGCACTTAGAGCTGGCTCTTGGTGTGCTCCTCATTTCCTGCCCTGCCTTGCTGGGTTCTGTTGTGTGCTACTAAAGGCAGCAGTTCACTCCAGGGACTCTTGCTTTCCATTGACAGGTGTGGAACAAATGCTCTGGATCACTGCAAAATGCTTTGGAATGAATGTGTCCGTGGTATTAAGATTCTTGTTCCCTCTGCAGCATGGGAGGGTAAATTCTATTGGCTGTAGAAAACTTTGGTGATAAATGGGTTTGATTTATGAAACCCATTCGAAAAACACAAAGAGCAAAAAAGAAAAGATTTGATGCCTAAAGCTCATCCCTGTGTATCTCTATATCCCATAATGATTCCATAATAGGAACACTTACACTTCAGAACCACCTGAGATTATCCAATTGCTGGGCCTTTAAATGCTTTGCTCTGTGTGTGTTTATTCTGATACTGTCAGAGTTGTGTAAAAGATCTCCCAGATGGGGGACAAAGAAGACCTGGGAAATGTGGAAGTTTATCATTCATGTCTTTTTATATTAGAGAAAAGAGAAAGCAGACGGGGGCTGGAACCAGATGATCTGTAAGGTCCCTTCCAACCCAAACCATTCCATGATTCCATGACCATAAAGAGTGAAGCTAGAAACCCTGAGAAGTGCTGGGAAGTGAAGAAGAACACACAGGAATAATAAAAAGCCAATATATGCTATAGTCACAGCATAAGTGTCTCTAAATGCAAGTGGTCTTTTATTGACCAGTAAAGAAGGAAAATCCCTGTGGAGGAGAAATTCAGGCCATGATTGACACAAAAATCTATCAAGAACTGCAGGTCCACTGGGCTCAGGTTTGATTAAATTCATTAAGACACAGCCTGGAATGCTGCAGAAAGCAACACAAGGAAATAGGTTATAGTCATGTAAATTTATTCTATCTGGTAAATGGCTTTGGCAATGTCTGTCTGTAGGTATGTGCTGATTTAAATGTAATTTTCCAGGAAGTTTTCTGGCATGTAGCTGAAACTTCCATTAGAAACATGATTTAGTCCAGGTGCTGGTTATTGGTTTTTAAATTTTCTTGCTTTTCAAGCTTGGTAGATAAAATTTCACACCACAATACAAAATTCATACTTCAATCAAGAGACAGAAAATAGCTATTGACATTTTTTTTGTGTTTGAACACAGGGTAAAGTTGAGGTAGACTTAATTTTTTGTTCATGCAGATTTACAGACGTTGTAAAAAACAATGTGACCTGTGTACTCTGTGACTATTTTGGCATTGTGGATGAACATCTCTGAGACATGAAAGTGACTTTGACTTTCTTGGAAATTTTTTTTCTCTCTGACAGAACACACTAAAAAATGAGATTTTTAGTGCTTTAATGCTTTTAACCATTTAGCTTTGAAAAATTTTTTGAATGAAGTTTTAAAACTAAAATGAAATCCTATGAAAGATGGTTTCTAGAGAAATCTGGAGAATCCAGAATCTTTTATCTAGAATCTATATAATCTTTTTCTTAAGACAAAAAACCTCCTGTTCTTTTCACTTAAACATATGTTCTCCCTTTTCACTCAAATATATGAGAACTTTTTTCTTACAGGAGTTAGAATGTGCTAGTTCTTGATAGAGGAAAAAGTGTCTGTGGACAGAAATGACTGGAAAAACAGGTTTTTTAGACAAACTAGAATTTCTCTTCATCCTGGAAGGTGAAGTGGGGCATGTTGGCAGTCTTGCTTAATGGGAGAATGAATCTTGGCCTGCACTTTTGAAAACTTGTTTGTACAATAAATATATTCTTTTTTTCCAATAATATCTGTGATGAGGTGCTCTGCAGCTTTCTTTTTGTCTGGCTGGTGTCTCATGCCTGGGCTGAAAACTTTTAGCACAAAGATTTGAAGTCTTCTATTCAGCAAGTCACTGGAGCTATGGTCTGGAAACTCTTACCTTGTTAATAAAAAGTATTCCTTATCTATTTTGAAGTGCTCGTTACACACAGAAGTGACTTCTATTGTTATCCATGTTTGCAATGCACCTCCTGAGGAATTTGGCCCTGTAAATGCCATTCCATGCAAATACTTAACACTGGCTCTTTCAGACTCTTTTCCATCCATTAATTTTCTTTCAGCTGAGAATTGAGCTGCAGAAAGATGTTAAAATTCCGACTCTGAAATGATTTTAAACACCTCTGATGAAAAAGCAGATGTTGCAGAGCATCTCCAAGAGTTGCTACACCAAAAAGTAGGGTCAGGGGTTCCCAAAACCAGGAGTGAGGCTGCTGCAGCTCCATGGCCCCAGTTTGAATCAGGAATAGGACTGATCCTGTATTTCCAGGAGGCACATTCACACAAACACACATATACAGCTCATGTATATATACATATATTTATAATTTATATTTATGGCTGACCACACCCATCAGGCACTCAGCACTCACTGTTCTGTGATTCTGTGGGACACTGGAACTATCTGCCCAAAGAGGTGGTGGATACCCCATCACTGGAAATATTCAAGGTCAGGTTGGATGGGGCTCTGAGCAGCCTGGTCTAGCTAAGATGTCCCTGCTCATTGCAAGGGGTGCACTAGATAACCTTCAAAATCCCTTCTAACCCAAAGTATTTTATTTTTCTCTGAAACAAACACAACAGCACCAATGTCTTCTCCTGCTCCCCACTGTTCCTGATCAGGATTGATCCTTAAGGAGAAAATTCAAATGGAGAAAAAATAAAATGAAATGCATACAGATGTCCCCGGCCATGGCAGGGGTGTTGGTCCCTTCCAACCCAAACCACTCAATGATTTTATGGTTTTCTGTACACATGGTTTAGGTTTTTGGGAGAGCTGCTGATGATACTGGCTCTTGGTAAAGCATCTGGCTATCTGAGGATCTTCTTTTTTATTCTCTGCACCATTTCCAAAATATTTATTTCTATTTAGCCTTGACTGGAGGTTTTCTGATTATTCATTTCACTTTTCAGTGTTTTGTTTAAGATCATGTTGGTTTAAATTTATGGCAGTGACTTCCATCTCCTGGGTGTGTTTGTCATAAAGGGTAGCTGGTGTTTCATATATTGCCTGAACATGACAGTTTGAGACAGATTTTGCAAAAGCATTGATATAAGTTTGAAAAGTAATACAAATTAATACATTTGGCAATTTTTTTAATATTATGTTTATTTACATTGTCTTTCTTGAAGATTTTACTACTATTGTGGCTTTATATCAGGATAAATTCAGAATAAAATTTCTTAAATATGCCCACTT